GTACATGCTGTTGCATTCCCAACACCCCTTCTCAACGGCATGTGCATAATTATATGACATTTAGTCTCTTTTGTAGAAAAAACAATGACGTTCCCTTGTTTTTGGATAATCAGGTTCCATTGGTGTTTTCGCTTCCTTTGCATCTTGCATGTGAAACTGTTCTAACATTTCTGTAATATTCTGACTTTGGTTAAGAAGATAGCTTCCATCCTCTTCCCGCTCTATTTGAATTCCTAGATAGTGAGTAATGTTCCCCAACTCTTTAATTTCAAAATTTTGTTTCAGTTTGTGAACTATTTGGTCATAGTCCCCTTCTTGTTCAAAACACGTCAAGATGTCATCGACGTATATTAGGATGTATGTCCATTTGTTCTCTTGATTCTTTGAATACAGACATGGATCTGCTTTACTTTTTGAGAACCCTTCTTTTCTGAGTATTTCGTTCACTTTTTCATTCCATGCTCTCGCAGCTTGCTTGAGCCCGTAGATGCTCTTTTGCAGTTTGCATACAAGGTTCTTTTCTTTCTCAAAGCCTGGTGGCTGTTCCATGTACAGATCCTCCTTGATGTCTCCATACAAAAAGGCAGTTTTTGACATCTAGATGCTTTACTTGCATTCCCTTTCCGGCAGCAATACTAAGGAGTGTTCTTATAGTAGAATGTTTCACAACTGGAGCAAATGTCTCATCGTAATCGTCTCCAAATTTCTGGGAGTATTCCTTGGCAACTAATCTTGCTTTGTATCTATGAATGTTTCCTTCTGCATCATATTTTACTTTAAAAGTCCATTTGCTTCCGATGGTTTTGCGACCAGGAGGGAGTTCTGTTAGTGACCAAGTTTTTTTTTCTTGAAGTGATTTTATTTCTTCTTCAGCTGCTTTTCTCCACTGATCGGCTTCCCTTCTCGGCAAAGTTTCTATGTCTTCCCAGGATGTTGGCTCCTGTGTTTGATGTGTTTTAGCAGCGTATGATAACCTGCGGGGTGGTATCCCTTTTGTCAATCATGAGGATCTTCTGATTACTTGTTGTTCAGTGGGTTCTATTGGCTCGTTGATTGTAAGTTCCACTTCTTGTTCTGGCTCTTGTCCTGCTTCGCATGGGTCAGTGTCTCTTGCCGATTCAGCGTGTAAATCCTCTCCACATTTTTCAAGAATTGTATTATCTGGTGCTTCACTTTCATCAAAATAAACACTGTGGCTTACTGTGACCTTGTTGGTCTTTGGACAAAGGATTCTATATCCCTTACTCTGCTCACTGTAGCCAACCAGAATGCCTTCTATGGCTTTGTTCTCCAACTTGGAGCGTTTCTGACTTGGAATGTGGGCATATGCTTTACAGCCAAATACTCTGATGTGTCCTACGTTAGGTTTTGATCCATTCCACATTTCATATGGTGTACTCTCAATAGCTTTTGATGGGAGCCTGTTTTGTAGGTATGTTGCAGTCATTATTGCTTCTCCCCAGTATTTGTTAGGTAAGCCAGCGTCCGTAATCATACATCTTGTCATTTCTACAAGAGTGCGATTCTTTCTTTCCGCTACACCGTTTTGCTCAGGAGTGTATGGTATGGTTGTTTGGTGTATAATACCTTGTTTCTTTAGGTATGATTCCATCTCTTTATTCATATATTCCCCTCCATTGTCAGTGCGTATTATTCCAGGTTTCCTTTGAAACTTGTTGCTTGTCATAGCTACAAACTCTTGAAATTTTTCTAATGTCTCAATTTTGTGCTTCATTAGATACGTTATTGTGTACCGGGAATAATCATCGATGAAAGTCAGTAAATATCTGTTCCCGCCAGGTGTGATGTTTTTCATTGGTCCGCACACATCACTGTGTATCAGTTCCATGGGTTTAGTGGTTTTACTCTGACTGGTCTGTGGAAGAGAGGTTCGGGTGGCCTTTGCTTCGATGCAACACGTGCACTTGCTGAGTGTGTGGCAAGGCAATATTTTCATGTCTTCTGATAGACCTCTCTTTGCAAAGTCCTTTATAGCTTCTGAGTTTTGATGCCCCAATCTTCTATGCCACAGGTGGATGCACTTGTCATGTGGGCTATGAGTTGTTGTTGCATTAGCCTTCTCACTTTCAGTGATGAGTTTGTACAGATGTTTTCATTTAATCTTCCTCTTGCTAAAATTTGCTTTCCATTTTGAATTGTGCATTCATTACCTCTGAACTGGACAGTGAGTCCATTGCTTGCAAGGGTTTTAACTGATAGGAGGCTTCCTTCTAGGCTTGGAACATATAGAACATTCTTTACAAGGATGCTCTGCTTGCCCCCTGATGGCGTTTTGCAGTTCAGAAATCCCTGACCTTTACCTTCCGCTGTAATACTTTTCCCATTTGCTAGGAAGACTTTATCTTTTACACTAAAATCAATTTCTGTGAAGAATTTCTCGTCGCTTGTCATGTGACTTGTTGCCCCTGAATCAATGTACCATCCATGTGAGGTACTATTCTGAGTCACTTTAAAAGTACCACTCCATGATGCACTTTCATTTTCTTTCATGACTGCTTTAGCTCTTTCTCTTGTGGGTAGCTCCCGCTTTCGCTGCTCAGCTTTCCAGATTGAACAGTTCTTTTTCAGGTGACCGGCCTTTTTGCAGCGAAAACATACCCTGGTTTCTTTGCTTTGTCTTCTGCCTTCATGCACCTTCAGAGCTGCCTCTGGTCTCTCGTTCTCTTCACTATGCAAATTTTTCTTTCTTCTGCTGTATTCATCAATTAATTTTCCCTTAACATATTCTAGCGTCAGTTCAGTTTCCGGTCTAGTTTCTAGAGCATTTATAAGGGCACTGTATGATTCTGGAAGGCTGCACAGAAGTATTGACAGAACATGGTTGCTTTTTAAATCTTCACCTATTGCACCCAGCTGGTCCACAATTTCTAGCATAGCATTTACATGTTCACCCCATTTTCTGCCCTTTTTCCAGCCTTATCTTATACAGTTTGCGCAGTAGATATAGTTTACTGTTTAGGTTTGCACGTTCATGCAGCTTTTGTAATGCAGTCCACATACCTTTATCTGTGCTTTCTTTCCTTATATGAAGGAGTTGATCATCCTCCACTAACAGGCTTATGACTGCTTTTGCTTGCCTGTTTTTTCTGTCCCATTCTTCCGGGTTGTCATTGGGTCTGTGTGTATCTAGTACCTGCCACAAGTCATCTTTGGATAACAGCATTTCAAGCTTAAACTTCCATAGCTGGTAGTTGGTATTGTTGAGCTTTGCTATTGTAAACTTCATATCTGAAGCACTTGCCATCTTTCAGTGAATTGGTAGGATTGTAAATGCAGCACTTACTTGCTTGTAGTTTTCCTTTTTCCAGTGTCTGGAGCTGGGCCCATAACCTGTTGGTTATGTGTTATAGAAGACACTGGTAGTGATAGCAGAATTTAGGCTTTACTTGTGTGGCTTAAGTTACAAACACACAGAGCACATTTCTCAGCAGACATGTTACAGACTCATTACTTCCTGAAGAGATGATAGAGAGAGGAGGAACAAACAAGTTTTCAGATATACACAACTAGTAAGCTTTAGTGTATAGTGCCAACTACTGGTCAAGTGATATTAACACACAATACTATATATAGTACATTATAGTACATGCTGTTGCATTCCCAACAGCGCACTCCTCAACCCTGCACTCTGTACGTAGCGCACTTCTCAACCCTGCACTCTGTACGTAGCGCACTCCTCAACCCTGCACTCTGTACGTAGCCCACTTCTGAACCCTGCACTCTGTACGTAGCACATTCCTGAACCCTGCACTCTGTATGTAGCGCATTCCTGAACCCTGTACTCTGTACATTGCAGAATCCTGAACCTGCACTCTGTACGTAGCAGAATCCTGAACCTGCACTCTGTACGTAGCAGTATCCTGAACCTGCACTCTGTACGTAGCACAATCCTGAACCTACACTCTCTATGTAGCACAATCCTGAACTCTGCACTGTCTATGTAGCACATTTCTTAACACTGCGCTGTGTATGTAGCACAATTTTGAACCCTGCACTGTGTATACAGTGCACTCCTGAACCCTGCACTCTGTATACTGCGCACTCCTCAACCCTGTACACAGCACACTCTTGAACTCTTTGCATTATGCGCTCCTCAGCCTTGTGCATAGCACAATCCTCAACTCTGCACTCTGTACATAATGCACTCATGAACTCTGCACTCTGTACACTGTTCACTCCTTAACTCTGCACTTTGTTCGCAAGCACACCGCTGAATTCTGCACTTGTAAGTAGCGCACTCCTTAACCTTGTACATAGCACACTCCTCATGTCTGCACTTTGCTCGCAGCGCACTGCTAAAGCCTTGCACTCCATGTGTAACACACTGCTCAACTCTGCACTCTGTACATAGCGTACCCCTGAATTCTGCACTTTGTGCATAATAAACTGCTGAACCCTGCACTAAGTACGTAGCACACTCCTGAAATCTGCATTCTCTATGTAGCACACTGGGGGGGGGGGGCTGTTGTTGATTATGTCGAGTGTTGCGATGGGGGCGTGATGGAGTTCCTGCACATATTATCTTTGAGAAGAAAAGCCCTGTAGCCTTAGGCCTCACTCAAACTTGTATTTGTAACTGCTCCACGTCTACTGCATGCACTTGAAGACAAAGCTGCATTTTGTGTTGAGACGGGGTCAGGGGTGTAGCAGATGGTGGGGCCAGGGTGTGGTCAAAGGGGCCCCATCAGATAGCCTGTATGGGGCCCAATGATTTCTAACAGCTGCCCTGCGTATACATACCAGATACAGAATCAGAATTTTTACTTATTTATGTAATATTAGAGTTCCTGAGTTAATTTTTTTACCCAACAGAATCTTGATTCTGCATTGAACAAGACAGTACACATTATTCACTCTAAGCATGGAAATCTGTATCTGTTATGTAACTTTTTTTGAGCATCACTAGGTGGAGTCTTTCTGACCAGGACAAACCCTCATATAAAAGACATTTGGAAGTCTGGAAGCAGCAGAGGAAGAGAGAAAAAAGGAAGACGCATATACCCGAAAGTGTGGTTACACTGAAAGTTTTCTTTATTAAGAAAATGAACAAGTGGATTGTAATTTGCTTTTTTGCACTCCAGGCCTGTCATCTGGGTAAGTCTGCATAGAATGTATAGGGTTTTTTTTACCATTAATATATTATTGGGATGTAATATGTTTTATGTACTTTAGTAATGAGATTTTTTTTACAAACATTAAGTTTTTGGAAAAGGATACTTTCGTTTCGTAGGATCACTTAAAAAGTGTTTATTTTATTTTTTACATTGTTAAGACTCTATGGGGGAGATTTACTACAACTGGTGCACTCAGAATCTGGTGCAGCTGTACATGTTAGCCAATCAGCTTCTAACTTCAGCTTGTTCAATTAAGTGTTTGCAATAAAATCTGGAAGCCGACTGGTTTCTAAGCAGAGATGTACAAGATTTTGCACATTCTAGTTTTAGTAAATAGCCCCCTATGTCTGACTTTACTAATATTTAAATTAAATCTATTTTTTAGTACATTTACAAAAATGTCAGAATATTGGTTCCATATCTGGGAAGTGTTGTATGAATATTTTAATCTAAAACTTCAAATCCAAAGTGGCAGACATATTTAAGAAAACATTTTACTTGGTTTAAAAAAAAAAAGTTTATTCAAGTACATATTCTTAACTAAATGAAAAAAACAAAACAAAACAAAAAAAAACTATCTTCTATTGCACCCAGCCTCCTCCAAATCTCCATTTTTTTTCCGACATCATGTTAGAGAGTGGCTACTTTGTTCTCTATGGTCCCACTATTTGTAGGAACATAGCCATCCTTTTTTGCGCATTCCCGAAATGGAATAGGGATTGGATTTGAAGTGTGCACTTAACTGCAACTATCATGCACTGCTCATTCCAAACAAATGTAAGTGAGAGTGAAAGGAAATGTCTGGGAGCTCACGGGACATTAAATAGAGACATAACATAGATTACAGGGCCATCGAGTAGTGGAATATTTTTGGTGAATAAGGATATTATTCAGTGTCACCTAAAGATGCATAGAGTCTTGTGGTGTCTCTTAGGATAAATTATCAGTCCCCTTTTCACAGATTAGCCCTTCGGATTCTGAAGGCAACCAGACAAGGCATAATAAAAAGAAAAATAGAGATCTAGTTACAAAAGTTCTGTTGTCAGATTTACCCGAGATTAACTAAAGCAAAATTATGCTGTATAGTTTAAAAGCTTTTATTTGTATAAAATGTATATTTTGCAACTAAACATCCAGTTCAAGGTATACCCATGAAACAATTTTTGCACAGCACTAACTTCTCCCTTTCTGACTATTCCTACATAACCAAATATTTAAATATAGAGAGTTGTATGAGTAGAGCTGATAGTGAGGGTGTGTCCCATCTCTGTTTAACCACATCTGCTAACTGGTAAACTGCAATATATTACATTTTGTTGTTGAGTTTAGAATCACATTAGGAAAAATTCCAGCAGCGATTTCTGGTAAATGTCACAGGTTACACAAATGACTCAACCAAAGGCTCAAAAGATGAAAGAGGAAGGGGCAAAGTCAACTTTAGAGGAAGCATCGAGATTTGTACATAACAATAGGTGCCAAATGACTGTGAGGTTTTATGGTAGTTATTTTAATCTGAAAACATATGACAACACATGCACAAGTATGATGAAATGAAAGCTGCTAAGAAAAACTAGCTGCTACTAATACTTTGTTCCTTTTTTAAAAAATAATTATACTTTTAGGTGTTTTTTTATCTACTCAATTGATTTGAGCTAAGCTATTTTAAAGTGGTTGTAAAGGCTCAAGGTTTTTTACCTTTTTGCATTCTATGTGCAACAGTGCCCCCAAGCCCCCTCAATACTTATCTGAGCCCCATCGAGATCCAGCGCTGTGCATGGTTTCTGCCTCTTCATTGGCTGAGACAGCAGCAGGGGAGCCATTGGCTCCCGCTGCTGTCAATCACAGCCAGGCTGCCAATGAGGGGAAAGAGGGGGCGGGGCCAAGCTGCAGCTCTGTGTGCTGCTTGCTACGGGGGCACCTGACAGAAAGGAGGAGCCAGGAGAGCCTGTGGGGGACACGAGAAGAGGACGATCCAGGCTGCCCTGTGCAAAATCACACAGAGCAGGTAAGTATAACATGTTTGTTATTTTCTGGGAAAAAAAATAATCTTTAGTTTTGCTTTAAGCTTAAAGCATTGGTTGAACATTAAACTGAAACCAAATTCTGGTTTTAAAAAAAAATGATATTCAAGTATTTATTGTTAACACCAAAAAGTACTTTCTATGCTCTCAGCCTCCTCCAAATTGTTTTATTTTTGGCTGCTGTGATCTGACTTCCTGTTGCAGGGTGGCTACGTTCATTCTCCCACTGTATGTAGGACTGTAGCCACCTCTCTTGCTTGCTTCCAATATGGATAAGGGCCTATACACTCTGGGATGTGTAGTGTGCATAGAGCAGTACTTGACTGCAACTAAAATGCACTGCTTGTTCCAAACAAATAGGAGTGAGAGTGAAAAGGAGTGGTTCAGGAGCTCACAAAGGATGTAATAAGGAGGCAGAAAAACACATAGATTACAGGGCCATTAAATAATAGATATTTATGGATTATTTTGGAGAATAAGGATATAGTTTAGTTTAGCTTTTCTCAACCAGGATTACATTGAACTCTAGGGATCCTCTAGAGGTTTTTAGGGTTTATTTGAGCTGTGGCTCCTATTTATTGGTGCCTACATAGTTCCAAGGTCAACATCACTTGACAGAGACAGCAGCATGACATCAATGATCTTTCTAGTTGTCTGTAAGGGTGGCATTCTGATGGCCACCACTGTAAGAGGGAATTTCATTCCTTTGACCACCAATGTAAGAGGGACATTTTTCCTATTGACCACAAATGTAGGTCACATTATCCCACTGACCTCCAATGGTTTTAGCAGATGTAGCGCCCTCAAGTGTAGATAGTTTGTTAATTGCAGTTAAAGGTTTAGACAGAAGGTTATTTCATATTAGACTGGTGGGCTCTACAGGTCAGTCCTCTGATACCTCCACTGCTCTAAAAGCTTGGAGAAGTTTCTTGAAGTCAGTAGGCGGAGGTAATGAGGGGCTGATCTGCATATTTTTCTGGGAGTCTGACCAATCCCAGGCATTAGGCCTGGCAGTGTGGCAGACTGGTTCATAAATATGGCAGAGCCTGGCCAGCAGGGGAGTTGGGTGGAAGATGGATGGTTGAAGTGTTGCTGTGTAGCCTAGGAGGGGGCCCTGGAGAAGATGGGTTCTGCCTCCAGGCTTGAGGTTGAAGGAAGGAGGAAAGCTGAAGGAGGGAGCGCCCTGCAGTTCACTGGGGAAGGACAACCTGGATAGCCTGGAATAGAACAAGCCCAGTGGAAGGCCTCTAAGCAGTTCTATCCACAACTGCAGGACAGGGACAGTGTGAGTACCTCTACACCCCCAGGGTCTGTAAGAAAGAAGCCTGCTGGATGCAAGTTCTTGGCATGTCTTCAGGGGACCGTTTAGAGCTTAGAAAACAAAGGGTCAATATCTTACAGTTCATTTTGTTTGGAAAGCCACAGCAGACTGACACTAAGTAGAAAAGCCTGTCCCCTGCCAGCATACCACAAAAAAGGACCCTTTCTCTCTGTGTGGAGGCAGTGATCTCATAGTAGAAATCTAACCTAAAACTTTCCATTCAGCAGGGAGCATGAGCTTTGCTGGTTGGAGAGCTCTAGATCTGATTCGGCTGCTGGGATATGTAGGACTGTTATGTTAGTTATAGAGCGTGTCGAAAGATGGGGATTCTTTCAGGTACATGCGGAGAGGACCAAAAGTTTGGGGAGAGTGTTATTCACCTTTTCGTTGTTTGTGAAAACGTGAACTAATCTCTTAACCTCCCTAGCGGTATGATTATGACAGTATTTCTGTGCTCAAAGCGGTACATTTTTTTGCATGGAAATATGTCTTTTTTTTATTCTAGACCTGTAATTTTTAGGAATAACTCACTGAAATCTGTCCGAACAGGAGTCATAAAACATAATAATACATTTAATTCAATAATATAATCAAACCAAAAACACTGAAATTTGAAATAGAGCGCCAAGTTCGCACATCACTGAGCTTAGTCGCAAAATCGTTTTCAGTGTCTGTTGACGAATTTCCCCACGAATCATTATCACTCAATTCTGCAAGTGGTTCTCATTTACTATCGCTGTTCTCTAGCTGGTCTAAAACAGCTTTTGACCTAAAGGGACGCTTTTTTGATGCCATGGACTTTTCTCAGTTTCCAGGCAGAAAGAACAGTAAAAGAGCATGCAGGGCACAGGACAAAGCACTAGGGACAAAATGTATGTGAAATGGTTTGATACAGTAATGTTTTACTATGTGTTTTTAGTGTATTGAGTGAATGTCACTTTTAAAAATTTTTAATTTCCCGCCGGTTCCGTCCCGCGTAAGTCCCGTATGTCCCGACGCTCACAGGGACCGGAACCCGGAAGACGGATGCCAGCATCGGCCGGAGGAGATGGCCAGGCACGCTGCAGGGGGGACACCGCAGGAGCGAAGGACAAGGTAAGTGCAAGAGGGAACGCTGCAGTGTAATCCCGAGTGTAGCTCGGGGTTACTGCTTTTGGTACTGAAAGTTTACTCCAAACTACACTCGGGAATACCGCCAAGGAGGTTAAACCAACTTCTCTGCAGTCCTTAAACTGATAAGCTGTACTTTTCAATCAGAGCTTCTTGTATTACATAGACAGAAATTAGCCATAATAATCTACACAATAATTGCCAAATATGATTGGCGATAGCAGTGTGTTGCCTGTATGTAGGAACGTATTATTAATTTATTAATGGGGCTACCCTACAGCTATACCTATTCCATGGTATTACCATTTCTTAAACTCAGGAGTAGTCACTCTAAAAGAAAGGACTGCCTGTCCTTGATGCTTTTACAAGGCTTCAATATACTGTAGTATAAAAAAGCATAGAAAGGATACTTCTCTGAAAGAATGGATTGCATGCAGAGACATGGGAAAGTATATCCTGATAACTTATAGTTAGGTTAGCCAAGAGGAACCAAAAAGCCTTCCATTTAAACCTAAGTTTAGTAAAAAA